GGGGCGCGCGGGGGCAAAGCGGGTCGCCGCGGGCCCGGACCAGACGCTTTGCCTCGGGAACCCAGGGCCAGGCCCGCGCTCCGTGGCCGAGGCGGTGCGGGCGGAGGAGCAGGTGGGAACAAGGGACGGTCACAGGAGTTGACAGACAGGCTTTAGAGGAAGTACCTTGTCCTCAGTTCATTCTAATTGGGAGACAAGGAGAAAGGACTCTAAGGGGACAGCTCAGGGAGGGACACGGCTTTGCCCTAATCGCTCTTCGCTGCTTCTGAAATCTGATGCTGTAGCCGGTCCCTCTGTCCCAAGCGCGGCTCTGTGCCTGCGCGCGGTGGCCGCTCGGTGGCGCTCGCACCGGGAGTCAGGTGTCGGGAGCAGAGTGGACGGGGCCCTGGTGGCCTGTCACCAGGATGCGAGGGCCCTGGGGGCAGGAACGCGTGGGCACAGTTGGGGAAGACGCCTGCGACTCCCGACGCGCACACACCCCGCGGACCGTGGTCCCGCTGTGCTTGTCCTGGGCCCACACGTGCGACGCGGCTCGGTGTCCGGGCAGGGCCCGAGACGGCCAGAGAACCACCCCAGCGCTAAGTCGTCACCCGGTTCTCCCTGTGTAGGGGCGCCAGGCACAGAGGGCCCAAAGCAAAAGGTGCTTCCTACCCTTGAGGGAGAGACAGGGCTGAAAACCGGATGCGACTTTGTTTTAGGGCCGCCATGCAGTGTATGTGTGTGCAAGTGTGTGTATGTGTGTGCATGTATGTGCAAGCATGTGTGTATGTATGTGTGTGCGTGTATGTGCAAGTGTGTGTGTTGCACGCATGTGCAAGTGTGGGTAGGTGCGCGTGGGTGCAAGTGTGAGTATGAGTGTGTGAGGCCGTGCGTGTGCACGTGCGCGTGTGTGCGTGCATGTGTGTGTGCACATGTGTGCACATGTGAATATGTGTGTGCGCGAACGTGTGTGTGCGTGCATGTGTGCATGCACATGTGTATGTGTGTGCGTGTGTGTGCATGTGTGTGCATGCACATGCGTATGCGTGTGCATTGTATGCATGTGTGTGCATGCACGTGTGTGTGCGTGTGCGCGCATGCATGTGCAAGTATATGTGTGTGGGTGCACATGTGTATGTGTGTGCACGTGTGTGCATGTGTGTGGGTGAATATATGTATTGTGTGTGCACATGTGTGCGTGCATGTGTGTGTGTGCGTGCACATGTGTGTGTGCGCGCGTGTGCGTGTGCACACGTGCGGCACGCACGGCTGTAGGGTGGAGCCGGTGGACTCCCAGGCCCAGGGTGGGGAGCCGGGGAGCTGAGTAGACCTCCTGTCCTCAGGGAGGGGGCGAAATCAGCGTGGCCTTCTCCCCCAGAAGCCCCAGGACCCGGCCACTGTGGACGAAGTCCTGCGCCTGCTCGATGAAGACCACACCGGGACGGTGGAGTTCGAGGAATTCCTGATCTTAGTGTTTAAAGTCACACAGGCCTGTTTCAAGACATTGAATGAGAGCCCTGAGGGAGCCTGTGGGACTCAGGAGTCCCAAAGCTGCGCCCCCCGGGCCTCGCCAGAGCAGGGGGAAGGACAGAGCAGTGGCCCAGAAGAGGGGAGAGCTGGGGGACGCCAGCATCCCCAGGCGAGCAGCGGTGGACAGAGCGGGCAGGGAGAGACTGGGGCTCGGACCCAGGGCCAGGCCCCCGGCTCTGCTCAGGTCAGTCACCGTGACAGGCAGTCCGAGTCTCAGGGACAGCAGGGAGGGAGCCGACAGACACCAGCGAGGGGGCACGTGGAGCCCACCCAGAGAGCAGGAGAAGACCAGGGTTGTCGGACCAGAGACGAGAGGTCAGAGAGACAGTCACAGGCCAGGGAACAGGACAGAGCCCACCAGACAAGTGAGACCGTGACTGGAACCGAAACTCTAACCCAGACGGGTGCCACCCAGACCGTGGCGCGGGACAGGAGCCAGCAGTCAGGGGGCACCAGCTCCCGGTCACAGGAATCCTTCCATGGCCAGACCAGAGGGACTGAGACCCATGGTCCACACAGGAGCCAGACAAGCCAAGTGGTGACCAGACCCATTCCAACACAGACAGAGTCACAAAGCCAGACTGTGGAGCAGGACAGGAGCCAGCAGTCAGGGGGCACCAGCTCCCAGTCACAGGAATCCTTCCATGGCCAGACCAGAGGGACTGAGACCCATGGTCCACACAGGAGCCAGACAAGCCAAGTGGTGACCAGACTCATTCCAACACAGACAGAGTCACAAAGCCAGACTGTGGAGCGGGACAGGAGCCAGCAGTCAGGGGGCACCAGCTCCCGGTCACAGGAATCCTTCCATGGCCAGACCAGAGGGACTGAGACCCATGGTCCACACAGGAGCCAGACAAGCCAAGTGGTGACCAGACTCATTCCAACACAGACAGAGTCACAAAGCCAGACTGTGGAGCGGGACAGGAGCCAGCAGTCAGGGGGCACCAGCTCCCGGTCACAGGAATCCTTCCATGGCCAGACCAGAGGGACTGAGACCCATGGTCCACACAGGAGCCAGACAAGCCAAGTGGTGACCAGACTCATTCCAACACAGACAGAGTCACAAAGCCAGACTGTGGAGCGGGACAGGAGCCAGCAGTCAGGGGGCACCAGCTCCCGGTCACAGGAATCCTTCCATGGCCAGACCAGAGGGACTGAGACCCATGGTCCACACAGGAGCCAGACAAGCCAAGTGGTGACCAGACTCATTCCAACACAGACAGAGTCACAAAGCCAGACTGTGGAGCAGGACAGGAGCCAGCAGTCAGGGGGCACCAGCTCCCGGTCACAGGAATCCTTCCATGGCCAGACCAGAGGGACTGAGACCCATGGTCCACACAGGAGCCAGACAAGCCAAGTGGTGACCAGACTCATTCCAACACAGACAGAGTCACAAAGCCAGACTGTGGAGCGGGACAGGAGCCAGCAGTCAGGGGGCACCAGCTCCCAGTCACAGGAATCCTTCCATGGCCAGACCAGAGGGACTGAGACCCATGGTCAACACAGGACCCAGACAAGCCAAGTGGCAACTAGACCCATTCCAACACAGACAGAGTCACAAAGCCAGACCGTGGAGCAGGACAGGAGTCAGACCCCGTGCCACACCGGGCTTGGAGAGCAGGGACAGACCCAGAGGCAGTCAGGCCGTGGTCAAAGAGGGACAACAGACAGTGTCCGTGAGGCAGAAGGGTCAGAGCCGGGACAGGCCCAGCCCGGGGCGAGCGCCCTGACGGGCGGGCAGGTCGGGAGCAGCACTCCCCCGACGTGCAGTGTGACGGGCGGGCAGGGAGGGGGGCGGTCCTCAGTGGTTGAGCGGGAGTGGGTCGACGACCCCGCAAGGGAGACGGTGATCGGGAGGCAGGACCGGGGCGGCCCGTGCGCCCACGTGCCTCCCGCGCCGGGCCGGGAAGGAGCCCAGCGGAAGTGAAGCGGGGCCTCGCGGCCTCGGGGCTGAATTCCTGCCTCGAAGGCAACAAGCCCTGAGCGTCCCAGCCTGGACCAGCGCCCAGTCCTGGAAGGAGACGGCTGGAGAAGGGCCGTCCCGCCCTGCCCTGGCCGGCCCCGCCAGTGCGTCCCCAGACATCAGCCCTCGATCACAGTGCTTCTCTCTTAGGTCTTTCACAGTGAGGCCGGTTCTGCAAGGCGCTTGTTCCCCTAAACCCTCCTGTCTTACCCGCTTCGCTGTGCAGACGCTCTCAGGAGCATGTTATGCCTTCGGCAGAACCACCCCCCCTCCATTTGTGGGGGGTTCCAGAGCTCTTTATCTCTCATCTGTCCATCGCCCCATCCGAGGGCCTCAATAAAATCTTCCTGAGCAGCTAGCTGGGCTCGTGCCCCATTCTGTCACTGCCGACGTGTCGGGCCGAGGGCCGCAGGGCCGTGACAATGAGCGGGGCACGGTCCCGACCCTTGAAAGGCATCCCATCGAGAAAAGGCCACTTGAGATCCCAAGAGTCACAGAGTCAGAGAGCAGGGGCGGCACACCCGACGCCCCTGAGGGACGAGAGAGAATGAGGTGGGAAAGCTGTTCCCAGTCTCCCGTGACCTCGAACCCTAGAGTGTTGAGTCTCTGCTCACCCATAAGGCCACACGGGAGGCTGGCCTAAGGTTACCAATGCATGGAGGTTATTCCGGATCATCCGGGGGGGGGGCCCGATTGTAGTCACAATCTGATGACGGAGCCAGGCGCTGGAGCCAGGCGCTGCCTCTCATGGCAGGCAGGCGGCCTCTAGAAGCCAGAAAAGGCAAGGAAACGAATTTTCCCCTAGAGTCTCGAGAAGGAACGCAGCCCTTCAGACACCTCGATTTTAGGCTTCGGATCCCCAGGGCTACCAGGGAATACATTTTTGTTTTAATCCGTGAAGTGTATTCATTACCGGAGCAACAGAAGACTCGTACGTAAACCCAAAACCCAGAGTTAGACCCAGAGTAGCAAGGAGCAAGGGTGTGTGAAAAAGACGGTCGTTCTTCCGAGGACAAAGCACTGTCTACACCCGTCCGAACTGACCGTTAGGTTTAAAGGCCAAAGAGAGCGAAGACCACGCAAGGACCTCGAGAATATAGTCCCCATCATCCCTTCCCAAGCAACCTGCTAGGGAACGAGCATCGAAAACCAAAGAAACGAAAGAAATCGAACCAGAATGGCAGAAAGAGCATTTGCCATACAGCGTGATAAGGAGCAGTTCGATCTATTAACTGCTGCCCCCTGGCGGTGGTGAAGATGTCCGCCTGGCGGGACACCTGCCGGGAGCCTGCTCGGCCTGCGGCAGGTGGTGTCAGCAGCCACACAGGCTCAGCAGTGTGGCACCGCCCGGCAGCATCTCAGCAGTGACCCACCCAGGCTGCTCGGAGCCTCAAGGCTGACAGGGGGCGTGTGTGTACGCGTGTTTGTTGGGGCGCCCTACGCAGAGCCGCTCCCGCTAACAATGGGTTCCTGGCATCTGGCTTGGGCCAGGCCTTGCCTGGACGCTCCATAGAGCCAGATCTGCCAGGCTCCGGCTCCCCTGGGTGGGGGTGGCCCTGCGGCTGCTCACGATCTCACCGGGACATTCATTCCTGGAGCGGTCCCCATGGAGAGGCAGGGACGTAAACATCCAGGAGCGGTCCCCGTGGAGAGGGACTCCCCCTTCTCGGGATAGGAAGCAGCGGTCTGTGCCCATCTCCCGGGGCCTCAAGACCCTGTCCTGGCCACCCTCAGGGTGGCTGCTGATCCATCACCAGCATTGGTGGCGCGTTCCCAGTGCTCCCCACTTACACACAAGCTACAGTAACAAGTGGGGGGATCCCCTCTCATCCCTGGGAAGCGGGCACGATCATGGGGGGCTTGGGAGTTAGAGGTGGGGCCTGGTGGAACCGATGGGTTCACATCAGCTTCGCCCCCGTCCATCAGGGCTGAGAGGGCCCTGAACTGCATTCTTACAGCACCAGCCAGGTCTCCAGGAGTTGAAGCCGCCCCTGGAGCTATGAGGGGAAGGGGGGTGCCCCCCAGGCGGCTCTGAGGCCTCGGCTGTGGGTGGAATGTTGAAGCAACACTCATTCTGGTTTATCTGGGGACTTTCTGGGAAAGAGCAGACACCACAGAGACGAAACGGGCCAGCTCTGAGGCGAAGGCATGTGGGAGAGTGTCCTGGGCGCGGACGCAGTGACGCACGCCATCGGAAGCCTCCACCCAAGGTATTCTCAATGTCACCCCGATAAATTTAATTCAAAAATAGAAAAAGAAAAGAGAGTAAACCAGGCATGGCAACCGGCCAGGCCGGTCCCGCTCCAGACCCGGGCTCCACATGGACTCTGTGTGGCCGGGTTCTGAGCGGCCAGGAACTCGGTCAGTGCATTTGTTTAAACGTCCTAAACAGAGAAAAACAAATTTTTTTTTGAATTAAAAAATTCAGTTTCAGATCATTATGTTTATCGTAGAGAAATCATAAAAGACACGAGCAAACAGACAAATACAAAAAGCACAATGTTTTGCCCCAAAATAGCCATTGTTTTTTAATCCCCTGCATACCCTCCTCTATGTGCAAATTACCATAGAACTATCTATATGAAAATGTATGTCTATGATTATATGTGCAAATGTACATGCACATTGTATCTATAAATAACATCTATATGCAAACATACATCAAGTATGCTTCTATGCAAATTATATTTATACGGACATACACATAAACATTATGCGGAATATTATTGCAGGATAGTTTCCATGGGCTATTTTCGGTGGTTTAGAGCCTCCTATGTCAGCCACCGATGGGTGAGCCCGAGGGCTAGGGAGCAAGGCTGCCAGGGTGTGAACCTCAGCTGTGCACTTTACATCAGGTGTGCCCTTGAACAAGGTACCTGTATGAGTTATCTCACCTGGAAAGTGGAGAGAACAATGGTATCTTCTCACAGTGGTTACGAGGGGTAGCTACAGGCACACACATAAAAGTATACGTAAGCCTGGCGCATGGCACGGTAAGCATTCAAAAAACGTTCCGAGCCGAGTGAAGCATCCTTCAAGGTCAGCCCTTTCAAAGCAAAGGATGTCTGAACCAGGAGGCCATACAAATGGTCCTGATCAGCCCGACCTTGACCCAGTACAGAAGAGTCTCACGGGCTGGGCTTTCTTCCTACCAGCTGCTCTGCACCATGGCTCAACTGTGGCGTTTTCCACTCTAAAGAAATCCTAAGACCGAACGTCAGGGTGTCACTCTGCGTGGACCCACCGCCCACCGCCCCTCCCCGCTGCCCTCTCAAGCCTCCGCCCTGTCTCTCGGGCCAGAATCAGTGTCTGCCAGTCCATCTCGCTCCCTCCACAAGTATTAGAGGGTGGGGAGTGGGTGTCTAACTGTGGATCTCGTTTTTCCACAAGACTCAGGTGGGAGATTGGGGGGAACGTGTGGCTGGGGAAGGCAGAGTCAACTACAGCATCTGACTTGGGGGGGGGGCGCAATTAACGAACTGGAAAAACCCAGGCCGCCGCCAGAAAATTCCACTTTCTGTCTTACGATACGTTTCATCGTGGATCGTGACATGCTCTTCATTTGGGTTCGATTGTTTTCTTCTGCGGGAGAAGTCACCATCCACAGAAGACAATTCCCACGCACGGGCTGAAATCTACCTTCACGTTGAATCCTAGTCCCAAATATCAATCATCAGCAATGATAAAAATGAGATGGTGTGTTACATGCTGATCTGTATTATTATTGTGACTTTACCGCAACAAAACTGGCAGTTTCGTGCTGGGCAATATTATAAAATGAACCAGACACAGTCTCTTCATCGAGGAGCTAACACAAAGCTGATAGACATAATGGAAAGTATACCGAAATAAGCAAGGATCCTAGTTAGGGGCGAAAGCCCGCGTCCCCCTAAACTACCTGAGCCGTGGCATGACTCAGGGTGGCCCTCCCACAGCCGCCGTCAGTCCTGAAAACGTACCGCGGAGAGAGGCATTTGTAACGACAGTGTGCACGCCACAGCGTTCCCTGCCCCAGCGCCCTGTCATCTCATCAGGGATCTGTGCCACTGCCCACCGCTCGCAGTGGACACGCGGCTGCCCCCGACAGAACACAGCACCAAAACCCACTGCTGTTTCCCATGAGGTGCCTGCCAGGCACTCACTGCCCTAGTTCCCATCTATTTGCTGATAAGATCGGCAGCCATACCTACCGCTGAAGTGTTTGTTTGTCCGTTGCGTGGATGTGGTAAAATTTAATTATGCCGCTGAAAGATTAGGTCACGGCTTCACATCACAGAGGAAATTATCTATCCCGAATTAAGCTGCAGTGCCGTAATCCGAGGTAAACCGCAGGTTTGTGGTTTTCCACCTGTGACCTGGTCTGTCTGCCTTAACTGGTCCCGGCCGCCTGCCTCCTCTCTAGAGTTTTGCCATCAGATTTCAGCTGCTGATTTCTGGGCTCTCCACCCCTACATAAGCACCTCACCCAGGTGGACGTGGGGCTTGCAGGTGGCTCTGCTGTCATTTGTGGCATCTGCTGAAATCAATCAGATTAGCCCGTTCGGTGGCATTCCAGAAGCGCTAAACCCACGCACCTTCGAGAAGGAACCTGGGCCTCCGCCAAACGGAGGTGTCTGTCATCCCTTCGCACAGAAGGGCAACCCTCACCCCTCCCTAGAGTCGAGAACTAACGATAAGATTTGTCCATGTCGAGCTTCTCCAATTTGCACTCTGCGGCTTTGCCCGCCGTCTCTGTCCCTGTCACATCTCGGGGTTCTGGTCTCCTGGGGTGTGATACAAAGAGGCCAACGCCAGTGCCTGGTGTCGGGGTGCCAGACGGGCCTGGGCTGGCTCCTGGCTCCGCCGCCTGCCATCTGTGTGACTGGAACTGAGGCCTGTTCTGAGCTCTGTGCCCCCACTAGACAGTGAGGAGCCTCGTGATGATCCATGGAAAGCAGCTTTCACGTGGAGACGCTGGTGGCTGT